AGCCGGCATCTGGCGCGTCCACCACGACCGGACCGAAGTCGAAGCGATCGATACCCCAACGCACAAATCCGGGTTCAAACCAATCCCAGTCCTCGCGATGCACAACCGAGGGGACGAGCTCGTTCCCTTCGATGTCCAATCCGGATTCATCGACATCCTCCGCGATCACTACCAAGACCAAGACGCCGACCCCGAACTGGTCCAGTTGATCGAGTACGAGGACACCGGCGCCATTCAGGAACACGCCGGTTTCGGGAAGTTCGCGTCCCAAGCCAAGGACACACAGCTCGAGTTCTTCAAGTCACTCTTCGACATGACCTGATCACCGCGACCTCGAATCGAGTACAGTGCCACAATGCCCAAGCTGTTCCAGAATCTGAAGAACCCAAAGGAAGTCTTCGCTTGGGGACTCTACGACCTCGCCAACCAATCCTTCACCCTCCTGATCATCACGCTCCTCTTCCCCATCTACTTCAAATCCGTCGCCGTGGGTGATCAGCAGCGAGGCGATTCGCTCTGGTCCATCGGTGTCTCTGCCGCACTACTCACCGTTGTCCTGCTCTCACCCTTCGTTGGTTCCTACGCCGACGCTCGCGCCAAACGCAAACAACTCCTGATGATCACAGGCACCCTCTGCTCGATCCTCACCATCGCGATGACCTTCATCGCTCCGGGACAGTGGTGGCTCGGACTCGCCCTCTTCATCCCCGCAAACATCTGCTACCAGCTCGGAGAGAACCTCCTCGCGAGCTTCCTCCCAGCGCTCTCAACCCCGCGAACAATCGGACGCGTCTCAGCGATCGGTTGGGCCATGGGATACCTCGGATCGCTCCTGCTCCTGATCTGCGTCATCTCCGGAGTTGAGCTTTTCAACTGGGAGCAAACGCCGGACTGGAAATGGTTCTTCATCCTCGCAGGAGCGTGGTTCTTTGTCTGGATGCTCCCCGCTGGATTCATCCTTCACGAACCACCCCACGAGAGTCCCCCCTCCCAAACCAACGGCTTCAATCTCGCGATCCAGCGCATGAAATCCACACTCAAAGAAGCCTCCCACTTCAACCAGCTTGTCCGCTTCCTCATCGCGTTCTTCATCTACGGCCTCGGAGTCCAGACCATGATCGCCTTCGCCGCGATCCTCGCCAGCGACTTTGGACTTGTTGAGATGGACCTGTTTATCTTCACCCTCCAGATCGCCGTCACCGCCGGGATCACCGCGATCGTTGTGTCGCGCTACCAAGACCGCATCGGCGCCAAACCCACCATCAGCATCTTCCTCATCATCTGGATGCTCTCGACCGCCGGACTCCTGATCGCCAAAGTCAGCGGAGCCGCATCGGGAAACAACCAATGGATCTTCTGGGTCATCGGAAACGGCATCGGGATCGGACTCGGAGGTATCGGCCCCTCGTCACGCTCGATGGTCGGACTCTTCGCCCCGACCGCACGAGTCGGAGAGTTCTTCGGACTCTGGGGAATGACCTACAAACTCGCCGGCGCCGTCGGCGTCCTCTCATTCGGACAAGTCAAAGCGTGGATCGGTGACGCCCCCGCCCTCACTCTCTTGACCTCGTTCTTTGCTTTCGGACTCCTCCTTCTCATGTCCGTTTCCGTCCCAAAGGGCATCCGCGCCGCCAAACAAGCGAATAGACAAGCCCGCACAAACACGAGCGTATGATCCAGTCATGAGTGCCATTGAATCCAATCAGAATCAACTCGAACGCCCGATGTCCATGTATCCCGACGAGAAGGGACACTTTGGTGACTTTGGAGGCGTCTATGTCCCCGAAACCCTCCACGCCGCACTCATGCAGCTCTCCGAAATCTACATGAAAGTCCAGGACGATCGAGCGTTCTGGGACCGCCTCGATGACCTCAACCGCCTCTATGTCGGGAGACCAACCCCGCTCTACCTAGCACCAGGACTCTCGCGCCGAGCACGCCACATGAACAAAGCTCAGGACACCGGCGCCACCATCTGGCTCAAACGCGAGGACCTCGCCCACACCGGCGCGCACAAAATCAACAACACGCTCGGACAAGCGCTCCTGACCAAGAAGATGAAAAAGAACCGCGTCATCGCCGAGACCGGCGCGGGACAGCACGGCGTCGCCACCGCCACCGCGTGCGCCCACCTCGGACTCAAGTGCGATGTCTACATGGGATCCGAAGATGTCCGAAGACAACACCTCAATGTGGTCCGAATGAAAATGCTCGGCGCCAATGTCATCCCCGTTGACTCAGGTTCCAAGACACTCAAAGACGCGACCAACGAAGCGATGCGCGACTGGATGGGATCAGTCGACACCACCCACTACATCCTCGGCTCCGTCGTCGGACCGCATCCCTTCCCGATGATCGTCCGCGATTTCCAGTCCATCATCGGACGCGAAACCAAAGCGCAATCACTCCGCAACTTCGGACAGATGCCCGACGCGATCGTCGCGTGCGTCGGAGGCGGATCCAACGCCGCGGGGATCTTCTACCCATTCGTCGAAGAAGACGAGGTCCGCATGATCGGTGTCGAAGCCGGAGGCCGATCAAGCGAACAAGGCGAGCACGCCGCACCGCTCTCGCACGGCAAGCCCGGAGTCCTCCACGGCTCGATGAGCTACGTCCTCCAAGATCAGCACGGACAGACCCAGCCCGTGCACTCCTGCAGCGCCGGCCTCGACTACCCAGGTGTCGGTCCAGAGCACAGCTTCTGGAAAGACGCGGGACGCGTCGAATACACCAGCGTCACCGACGAGCAAGCACTCGAAGCGTTCCTCTGGTGCTGCCGCGACGAGGGGATCATCCCAGCACTTGAGTCATCGCACGCCGTTGCATACGCCGTCCAGCTCGCTTCTGAGATGCCCAAGGACTCCAACCTCATCATCAACCTCTCCGGAAGAGGCGACAAGGATGTCGAAGAGGCATCTCGTCTACTCGCAGATCAACTGGATTAATTTTTACTCAGCGTGTTGGGCGAGTCACCAAACCACGAATAGGCCGCGACACGCGCTCTAGCCGTTTGGTAATCCAAGTCACCGCACCAAAGATAGTCCGCACACGGAGCCGCAGACGCAATCTGCGGAGCTGCTCATCATCCGGATCATGCCGTAGACCTTGGGTCAACCAGTACCGTGCCCGTATGTACTGCCGCTGACGGTAATACGCGAGTGCCAAGTTGTGCATCGCCGGAACGAAGCTCGGACGATACTCGAGCGCTTGCTTAGCCGCATCGATCCCCGCTTCAAAGTCCTCATTCTTGAGTGCCGCGACGCTCAACCCGTGCAACGCTTTGTGCGAGGTTGGGTGCTGCACGAGCAGCAGTTTGTACACCCGAGTCGCTTTCTTCATCATCCCCGCAAGGATCAATGTGCGGCCAAGGTCCTCAAGCTCTTCAACATCAAGTCGCTGCTTACCAGTTGGCGTGACTTCTTTGCCTCGGTTGCTCTCTTGAGTTCCCTCGGCACGATTGTTCGTTGACTTGTCGGAACCAAGCTTGAATTCGACAATCCCACAATCATCGTTGAGTCGCTGCTCAATGGATCGCAGTTCCCGACTCAGCAAGTCTCGAACGCGAGGAAGATCCTCTTCACGCCCGCGGTCCAAGAGTGTCTTTGCCAAACGAGCACGAGCGCTCGCGTATTCTTTGTCTAGACGAAGCACCACATCGTAATGCACGAGCGCATCGGCTAGATCACCCTCGATCTCTGCAAGCTCAGCAAGCGCGAAGTGCGCATCAGTATTGTCTGGGAAAAGTTCCAGCACACGCCGATACTTTTCACCCGCTTCTTTGTACCGATGCATGTCGACAAGCAGCTCACCCAGATCGAGCAGGGTATCGGGATCACCCGGATCTACTCGGAGTTCCTGTAAGTACAACTGGCGAGCACGCTCGAGTCGGCCAAGCCGAGCATAAGCATTGGCAAGATGCGCCCTCACGCGAGGCAGACCTGGATCAAGCCGCGCCGCTTCGCGCAGACACCATACCGCACGCTCGTGATGCTCACTCTGGAGCAATGCCTCACCCATCACGGCATACAACTCCGGATACTCAGGATCAACCTGCTGTCCTAGATAGAAGGCTTCTTCCGCGTCTTCGAACCGCTGTAAATCCGTGAGTGCTTCGATCCGATGAACCACGATCGCGACATTCATCGGCTCGATCTTTTCCGCAGCATCGAGCCACTGGAGTGCGAGTTCTGGTTTACCCGCGCGGATCAAGTTCACTCCAGCAAGCAGCGTTGAGTTCGCATCCTCGCTGCCGTGATCCACATGCAAGCGGGCGCACTGCATGAATGCCTCGGATGCCGCTTCATAGCGTCCGGCGGCTTCGAGTGTCAAACCAAGATTGAACTGCCATTCCGTCTGGTACGGATTCAACGACAGCGCGTGCCGAAGCTCCGCCTCTGCCTCATCCCAACGACCAGCGTTGTAGTGCTCGTGAGCGAGCTCAACATGTTGTTCGGCGTCAACCCAGTCGTTCATGACAAAAACCAGCCACTCCCAAACTCATGCCAGACCCACGCTTGGGTCACAGGAAGAATATTAACCGCTGAGCTACTTTTTCTCAATCCCAAGATCATGCCCGGCAAGGATTTGATCGTCAAACTGGCTGTATTTACCCCAGAAAGCCGACCAATAATACAGGGACATCCATGGAACACACCCAGAACCGTCCAATCCGACGCGGCTTCTATGCCCTCATCCTAACCGCAGGATGCTTGACGCAATGCGCCTGTTCCAAGAATAACAACAACGATTGGTTCAGATTCGGCAAGGAATCACCCAAAGAGCAGCCCGCAGAGCAAGCTGAACCACAGACAGCCCAAGAACAACCACAATCTGAGTTATCTGCTGCTACAGAAACTCAAACCGACGCACAGACGGCCAATGAGCACGAGCCAATAGCAGAGGTTGAGCAACCGACAACGAGTCCCAACGAGACTCAGCTCCCCGCTGTGGGAAATGATGTCGAGGAAATCGTCCAGCTGTACCGCCGACTCCATGTCGAAATGGACCAACCCAATAGATCACAACTCATCGTCGAGCTGCTCAACGACGAACGCGAACAGGTCAAACTCCTTGGATTCGAACTCGCTTCGCGCGACCTTTCAGCCGGCACCACGCTCAGTGCTGAAGCCGCGAACGCCGCGATCGATTTGCTCCATGATCCCCTCCCAAGCATCCGAGTGGGTGCCGCGCGACTCATCAACCGACTCGCGTTACCTGATGCAATGACCCTGCTCACGAATACACTCAACATGGAGCAAGATCCAAGCGTCGCCGAAGCCTTGCTCCGAGGAATCGAGCGTTGGCCCAACGAGAATGCAAAAGAGAGCGTTCTCAAGTGGTACAAATCATCAACACCTGCGAGAGCCGCCGCCGCCAACGCCGCTTGGCAAATCGCTGATCTCGGACTCTGGGATACAACCCAACACGAATCGCAAATTCAGTCAGTCTACCGCTCCATCCCAGACGACCAACTCACCCAATCAGACTTAAGGCTGATCGCTGCAACAGGAACCACCCCCGACATCAATCGACTCATCGGACTCGCCAAACAGAGCGAGTATGCAAAGCAAACCGAAGCCGCGAACGCGCTCGCGTTTACACCGCTCGGCGTTGATCCACTCATCAACCTCGCATCCACCCATCCAAACTTCGCACCCGCCGCAGCAAAGGCTATCGATCGTCACCGCCTCAACCCCAACGGCATCCGCCAGATCGCACTACTCGATTGGCCGACAACCCAAGCCCGCACTGAAACACTGATCCAGCTATGCGAAAAACTCGATCACGAGCAGCTCACCACCACCATCAGGCTCACTCAAACAGACAACACCATCAATGACGCTCTTGCGATCAGACTTCTAAATCGTCTCATCGCTGGCGCTCAGACCGTGTCCCCCAGATCCGCACCAGGCGTCGCACTGCTCGCACAACTGGAACTTAAAAACCTTCGCCCCGATCGTGCCCTCGAAGCAATCTCTCTCCTTCCCGAATCCGGACTCGATCCTGACACGGCACACCGCGCCCATAACACCTCCGCCATCTCCCACATCCTGCTAGGTGAGTTTGACCTCGCCGATCAACTGACCCAATCACCTCAGACATGGTTCGATGCAATCCAACTGCAGAGCGATACCAACGCTCAGCTCAGAATCGCATCCGCGATCCAAGCACGATCCTTCGAGCTCTCTGAAGACCAGCAGGAAATGCTCGACACCTTGCTCGATCAAAGCCAAAGCTCCACCACGGAGAACCCATAACAATGCCCGTGATCCTCTTCGCCGTCGTGCTCCTAAGCACAAAAAAACCGCCAAACCAGAATTATTGACTCTACAAACACCCAAACGAACCCAATAGCAACCCGCCGGGCGACCGTCTACCATACAGACCAGCCGGACGGACCCGGCTCATTAATACATGGGCACCGAAAGCCCGAACCAAAGGACACGCCATGACCAGAGATGAGATCCTCGAAAAAATCCGTGAAATCCTCGTTGACGCGCTCGCCGTAGACGACGATGAGGTCACACCAGAGGCAACCCTCATCGGAGACCTCGGCGCCGAGTCCATCGATATCCTCGATATCACCTTCAAGCTCGAACAAGAGTTCGGTTTCAAAATCGCACAAGGCGAACTCTTCCCAGAAGGCATCACCCAAGATCCCGAGTATGTCCAAGACGGCAAAGTCACCGCGAAGGGCCTCGAGATGCTCAAAGAACGCGGCCCACACTTCGACATGGCGTCACTCGAAGCCGACCCATCCGTCGAGAATGTCCGCAAGATCTTCACCGTCGATGCGCTGATCAACTTCTGCGATCAGAAGCTCCAAGCCGCCTGATCACGACCATCGCCCATACCTTGAGGACCAGTCATGCGATGGATGTGGATCGATCGGGTTATTGAACTTGAACCCAAACAAAAACTCGTCGCCATCAAACACATCTCGATGGCCGAGGATCATCTCCACGACCACTTCGCCGCGACCGACACACGCCCCCCACTTCCTGTGATGCCCATGTCCCTCATTGTCGAAGGCATGGCCCAAACCGCTGGGATCCTCGTCGGACATGCATCGGACTTCAAAGAAAAGGTCGTCCTCGCAAAGGTCGCCAAAGCAACGCTCTCCAAAGACCCCACTCCCGGATGCACGCTCCGCTACACCGCAACCATCGATCGATTCACAGACTCCGGCGCCTCAACCAACGGCGTCGTCGATCTCTACGACCCCACCACCAGTTATCAGGACCAAACGCCCGCACAACCAGAACGGATCGGGGAAATCAACCTGATTTTCTCCCATCTTGATCGCAACGCAGCCGGGACGCAGTACCCTGAAGAGAACTTTGTGTTCAGCGATTCCTTCCGCACGCTCTTGCGAACCAGCGGCATCGAATCGTCGTTCTAGATCAGGACCCTATAATCAGGTCCGGATCAACAGACCAGACTGGAGCCCACCATGGCGATCTCAAGCAAACTCACCTCCACACTCCTCGCGATGACCATTGTCGGAGTGACCGGACTCACCGCGTGCGCACCCCGCGAGGTAGACCGCACCGAGCGCCGCGTGCACACCGCTCACCGAGGGGTCGCGTACAAACGACTCATCCTCACACTCAACGAAGCCAACGCCCTCGCGTTCCGTGCCAACGAGTATGCCGAACTCATGTACGAATCCGAAGAAGTGGATGATGAGACCAAAGAAGACGCGATGCGCCTCGTCGATGAAACCAAAGCATTCGCCGACGACATCGAATGGTCACTCGCCAACAACCAGCGAATGACCTGGCACCGCAACGAGATGAACCGACTCTGGGGCAAGTTCAAAAAGCTCTACCCAGAAGACAAGGACTTCGCCAACGACTACACCACATGGTCGATGCGCAAGCCAACCCCAAAGCTCCGTCTCAAGAAGAACTACGCCGAGAACTACGGCATCCAAAAAACCAAGCCACGCTGGGATGACCTCCAACCAGTCATCCGCGAGTTCTACGAGACCGAATAAGACAATCCAAATCCAATACACAAAGAGCCGGATCACAATCGATCCGGCTCTTTTCTATGCGCTCAACTCAATCGTAATCAATCCCCGACAGCCCACCCTTCGTCCATCGAAATCGCAGGTCCAGCTTCGTCTGATCTCCGAGCCCACCCAACGGATGGGGGAAGGTATCGAGCGGCACATACCGCTGCTCCCAGACCGCATCAGGACGATCCGAGTCAAACGCCGAGTTTGCATCCCCGACCACTTCCTGCCGGACCGAGCCATCGAAGAACGCCAAGTTGATCTTCGCCGTCGGATACGCCGCGTAGATCCCATCGGGATCGCTGAACCGATCGAACTCCTCGTACATAAACACCTTCGCCGAGGGATGCGCCACCTCCGACATCCGACGCCCACCAACCGCCCGCTCCGACTCCCCCTTCACCAAATGATGCGGCGACTCCGCCGAGGGGGCGTACTGCGGATCAACATCATCAAGCCACGCATGAGGCACCACCTGATACGAAGACCCAAACGCCCACAACTGCTTCACCGAATCCTCGAGCCACATCGGATCGGTGTCATACCCCGCCTTCTTGGGCATCCCCTTCCCATACGGCACGTCAGAGTCCGCATCCAAATACCCCAACGGATGCTCCTGCCACCTGATCAGATTTTTGTCATATGGCGAAGCCATGATCGGTTCGGGTTGCCGATCGGTGAGGTAGTCAAGCAATACAAGATGAGAGTACCGAGTCCGGAGCAGCATCTCAGGTGCAGCAGCGAAAGCACCAGGCCCCCTGATTCGGCCGGTCGCTCGCTGAAGGATGTTCTGTGCTTCGTAGCCAACCGGATTGGTCAACAGCTCTTCCTCTGTCATTCCCCTCGAAGTGCGATCAACTCGGCGAGCCCATGATAACGCAAAGAGTTGATCATCATGATCTGCTGCAAAGTTCGCCGCTCCTGTATTGAGCGACCGAATATTCGCTTGAGCAACAACATTCCGTGCGTTTCGGCGCGGCGGTGTGCATGTTGGCCACAAAATTGCTGTAACCACAATTATGAGTATGATCACTATGATCAACTCTGCAATCGTAAATCCACGCCGAACTTCACCGCTCATCGCGTCCCCTTTCATTCGCATTCAGCACGCATGAGACCAACCCCACAACACGAGCCGAGCGTGCTCCATCGGAACTATCCGTAACACCCACCAAGCGGTTCCCCTCAAACTTCCATCAGCAACCGCCGGATCGTCTCCGGTGTCTCACCCTGTCCCGTCCGAGCGCTCAGCAAAGCCGTGTGCCCCATCGCAAGCACCGACGCATGATCCACAGGAGATCGCACAGGTCCCACACCAGAACACAACTGGATCAACTGCTCCGTCAATCGCATCGAAGACGGATCAACCGCCTCGTCCCGCTCGATCACAAACGAGTCGATCTCCTTCCCATCAAGATCAAATCTCGTAAACCCCTCATCACGCAAACGGATCTGCCCCTCGTCCCCAAGCGCATCGATCATCAATCCCGAGCGCCCCACCTGATCCGAGACCTGCATCAGCACGCCGCGTCCATCGGCCATCCGCAGATGCGCCGCCAGCACGCCGTGGAGTTCCCGCAGCGACTGTCCCGGAAGCTGATGCAACCCAGCCGAGAACGCCCCCTGATACGACGCATCGATCATTTCGGGAACACCAACGAGCGTCCGCACCAGATCCATCACCTCAAACACGCGCGCCCCGAGCGATCCATACACCGCCGGCGCGACGAGCGAGACATTGAGCGATCGGATCGGACCAAAGGTCTCCAGCGTCGCCATGAGTTCATCAATCAGCCGCCCCCTCCGAACCATCGGCACCACTCGCACAAACTCCCCGAACGCGCCGGTATGCAGCGCCTCCGTCCAGCTCGTCCCAGAGATCACCGTCGCCTCCCCAGGGATCGGCTCCAGCGTCGCGACCGCAACCTCCCGGCTGTGCGCCCGCTGCAAAGCCGCGAGATCGTGCTCCAGATCCTGCTGTCCAAAAGATCCTGGAGCCGCGAGCAGCATCAGGTCCGGACTCTCGCTGCTGAGCATGTGCCTCAGATCATCCTGCACCCCGCACCCAAACCCCTGCGCCACCGCCCCAGACTGCGCCGAAACCGGACATCCCGCCCCCACGACCCCGATCCCACCAGCCGACAGCACCGCCGAGAGCATCTCTACCTGCTCGGGAATCGCCCAAACCATCGCGCTTGTCGAACTCATAACCCCATGATACATAAAAACAAAGAACCCCGCACGCCAATTGGGCGATAGAATATCAGCAAGATGCAGCAAGGCGGCTGCTCATGAATGGTCCCCATCCATGGGAGGAAAGTCCGAGCACGACAGGACACGACGGTGGGTAACACCCACCCGTTCCAACACCAGAACCAACTCTGGCGGCTGGGAACGAGGGAAAGTGCCACAGAAAGCAAACCCCCGATGGCTTCTCCGGAAGCACAGGGAAGGGTGAAAGGGTGCGGTAAGAGCGCACCGCCCGATTGGTGACAATCGGGGCAAGGTAAACCCCGTCGCGTGCAAGCCCAAGCAGATCCTCACGCATTGCGTATCTCTCGTCCGGAGACCGCAGGATCGGGTAGGGTGCTGGGAGCATCAGCTCCCCATCGTGTTGGCAACAGCACGAGCAGAGAAATAGTCGCCCAGCTACGCAAGTCCGATCGAGCCCCCGTCATAAGGTTGATCGGAAACTACGGAGCGGACAAAACTCGGCTTACCAGCTGCATCCAGCCGCAACAACGCACCCCCTTGGGAACACCAAGGGGGTGCGGCCATTTTTGCGTTTCAGAATCACTCACCCAACATGCTTCGGATCAAACGCGTCCTGCAACGCATCCGTCAGCACATTAAACGCGAGCACCAGCACGAACATAAAGAACGTCGCCGCGCCGATCTGCCAGAAGAACCCCGCAACAACCTCAGGCTTGCTCTGAGAGATCATGATCCCCCAGCTCGCACCGTTCTTGAGCCCCAGCCCAAGGAACGTCAGCACAACCTCACCCTTGATCGCGCCAATGAACAGCAGCGACATATTGATGAACATCAGGTGCGAGGTATTCGGGATGATGTGCCGCGTCAGGATCCGCCACTTGCTCGCGCCCAGCGCCTGAGCCGCCTGCACATAGTCCAGCGACCGAAGCTTCAGAGTCTCACCACGCGTCACACGGCAGGGACCAATCCAATAGGTCAACGAGAACGCGACATACAACGGAATCAGCGTCCCCTCAAAGACCGACCCCGTAAACATAAACGCCAGCACAACCAGCAGCACCAGATACGGGATCGACGAGAACGTCGAGTACAACCAGATCACCGCGTGATCCGTGATCCCGCCAAAGTACCCCGCCGCAGCTCCGATGATCGATCCAAAGAGCACGGCGATGAACGACACCACCACCCCAACCTGGATCGCGACCTTCGCGGAGTACAACGCACGCAGCATGATCGAGCGTCCCTGCTGGTCCGTCCCGAGCATCAAGCGGAACTTGTACACCAATCCACCCAACCCGCTCGGGATCGGATACATCTCATCAAGGATCGGCTCAAGCTCATCGAGCGTCTCAAACACCGCCGCATCAATGCCAGGCCCCGCCTCGACCACCGCCGCCGCAAGCTGATCAACGACCGCCTCGTCATAAATCGGATCCATCGGAGACAGATCAAACGCCGCGTCCATCGCGTCCTGGAGCGAACTCACATCCACCCCGACCACCGGATCGCTCTCCGGCGCGTTGTCCGCGTACTCCTCGATCTGAACTAGAATCTCATCAAGAGTCAGCGCGACCTCTTCACCGGCGATCTCCCACGCTTCGGTATCAACCTCAGTCGCTTCGTACTCAGTCTTGAACTCACGGAGCTTCTCAATCTGGATCCCGATCTGCGGCAGCGTGTCCCGCAGTGTTCGCATCCGCTCCTGTCGTTCAAACACCTGCTGCGCTTCAGCGTATTTAACGCGAAGTTCCTCGATCGGCCAATCCGCGATCTTCCGCTCCGCGAGCGAAACCGATTTGCGAATATCCGCTTCCGATCGCGCCTCAATCGTTCCCCCACCAGCTTGATCGAGCTCATCGAACATCTTCGAAATGTTCTCGAAGTAGAACCCCACCTGCTCCATCCGCTTACTCGGCTCAGAATGAATCCCAAACCCAAGCTCGTTACTCGCCCCGACACGCTCGAGCGTCCGCTCTGGGAGAAGCGCTCCCATGATCGCGCTCTGACGCAAATCAAAAGTGTCGGTCGTCTTGCCTACCCAAGCGACGAGCTGCATCAGCAAGATCCAGCCAAACAGCAGCAGATAAAGCGAGATAATCCCCGACGCGATCATCGCGCCACGATTACCCATCAGCTTCCGCATCGCGGGCGATTCATTCAGGCGCTCACGGATACTCATGACAACCTCACCCGCGGATCAACAAGTGCATACAGCACATCAGTCAGAATATTGGAAGCGATAAACAACGCCGCAAACAACGCCGTGAAGGTCTGGATCACCGGGAAGTCCTTGGAGTTGATCGCGTTAATCAGTGTTCGCCCCATTCCAGGAATGTTAAAGAATACCTCGATCAGGATCGACCCAGTAATCACGAACGGCAGAGAAATCATGATCCGCGTGATAATCGGGATCATCGCGTTCTTGAGCATGTGCACGAACATCACTCGCCGAGTGCTTGCGCCCTTCGCCTTCGCTGTGCGGATGTAGTCCCGCTGCGATTCTTCGACCATCACCGCGCGATAGAAACGAGCGTCATACCCCAGAGCGACGACCACATTGATCAGCACCGGAAGCATACAGAACGCGACCCATTGGGCCGGTTGAAAGAAGAAGAAAGCACTCTCTCCGGCAGAGGCATCAACGGAGACCTTCAACGGCCACCCCTCGATGGACTCGCTGGGAACAAACGCACCAAAATACTGACCCAGAATAATGTACACCAGAACCGAAATACTCATCCCGATCACCGCGATGAACATCAACGATCGATCAACCGCTCGACCACGATAAAACGCCGACACCAGTCCAACGCAAATCGCGATCATTGCTGTGACTGTCAAAGTCGGAATCGTGATCGCCATGGAAGGCGGAATTGCCTTTGCAAGCATTTCCGAAACCGGGAGAGACTGATCCCAACTCCGTGTCTCTTTTCTTGTCCATACACTGGTCGACGAACCGGTCTGTGATTCCTCATCGATCGGCTTCCAAATCAACGCGAGATCTCGTAGAAAAATCACATATTGAACTCGAAACGGCTGATCAAGCCCCATTTCCTCTGTCAACAAGCGGATCTGTTCCTCACCAGCATTCTTACCCAACTGCGCCGAAACCGGATCATTGACCCGAAGCGCAAGCATCAGCACAAACACAATCGCGAGGAAAACCGGGATGTTGTACAGCGTTCGCCGGACAATGTAGGTCCACACAGGTCCACACTCCAAAGGTCAGTTAACACCCCGTCACGACAGAATGCCGGGGATCGCAGAGCCGATCATACGGCCCTTATTCGCGTTTGGAGTCATCCACATCCAGATACTTGAACCAGCCGTAGTACCGCTCAGTTGGCTTGCAGTTGAGCAACCACGGATTCATCAGATAGAAACGCTCACGAGCCATACCACCCACATACGCACAGTCATCAAGGATCATGTCCCGCATCTGTTCGTAAATCGCTGTCCGCTCATCGCTTGGACCCATCGTCAGGATCTTCTCATACAGCGCGTCGTATTCTGGACGCTTGTAGTTGTAGTGGTTCGACCCAGGCGCTTCGTTCGGACCATAGAACAACGCAAGGTTGTTCTCCCCGTCGGGATAATCACTCGACCAAGCGAACCCGAACATCGGTGCCTTCTTCTTGTTGATATTCTCAATGAGAGTCGAGAAGTCTAAGAACACCGGCTCAAACTTGATGTTCACCTCAGCAAGCTGACGCTTGACCATCTCGCTCACCGCGTTGTTGATCGCGTTCTGACTCGTGTAGAAACGGATCGCAGGCAGACCCTTCCCGTCTGGATATCCCGCCTGAGCGAGCATCTCACGCGCCATCGCGATGTTGCGACCTCGAGCCGCGGCTTCCGAGTACCCATCCTCAGGGTGCCCATCAAGACCCGGAGGGATCGGTCCGTCATACACAATCCGTCGTCCGCTGTAGAAGGTCTCATTGATCTCATCCAGATCAATCGCGTACGAGATCGCACGACGCAGCGCCCGTTTCTCAGTCGAGTAACCGCCGAGCAGCTCGTCTTCCATGTTGAAACCGCGGAAGGTAAAGTCCAGCAGCTTGTTCGCGTGCGGACGCATCCCCTTACGCAGGAACGATTCCTTCAACTCCTTGGAAGAACGATCAAACGCTTCCTGGAAGTAGTCCTCAGGAACCTGCGTGTAACCAAGATTCCCCGCGTTGAACTCCAGCCACATCGGCTGATCCTCAATAAACATCGTGAACTCAACCCGATCCACAAACGGCACCTGCTTGCCCGCAGCGCGATGCAATCGAGCACGCTTATCCTCACGAGACCATTCATCACGCCCAGGATAGAACACCTCGTGGTAGTTCGGATTCCGATCCGCCGTCAGCGACTGCTTCGGAACCCAAGTATCCAAAATAAACGGCCCAGTCCCCACCGGATTCCGAGCAAAGTCCTTCCCATAAAACTCAACCGCTTCACGAGGTACCACAGAAGTCTGGAACATCCCCAAGATGTACAAGAACCGGTACACCGGCTTCGTCAGCACAATCTCAAACTCACGATCATTGATCTTCCGGAATCCCGGAACCGGAGCATCGTAATCAAACTCAGCCGCTGCGTTCTGAGCGTCCTTGTACTCGTTGAACCCCAAGATTGTCCCGTCGAGCAGCCACCAGTTCTCAAGCTTGTGCTCATCATCCGCGAGCCGCTTGATCGAGTAGAACACGTCATCAGGAGTGATCGCCCGACCTTTCCCGCCCGGGAAGCACTTGTTGTCATGGAAGTACACACCCTCTTTGAGCGTGAAGTGCCAGGTCGTCCCGCCGTCCTCAGTCGTAGGCATCTCCGCGAGCAGCAACGGCTCCATCTCCATCGGACTCGCGTACTTGTTCGTCAGGAGCGTCTCGTAGAACTGAGCACACGCCATGTTGTCGTAGGTCGTCGATCCCTCGACAGGATCCAAGCTCTTTGGACCATCCGTCCGGATCGGGAGCTGCATGACTTTCAGCTCGTCTTTCTTCTCTGTGGATTCCGCACCGATTGCTGTTCCCGCATTGAGCAAGCACACCGCTGCCAATCCCAAAGCCGCTATCCGACGAGCCTTTAACATACATGTCTCCTTGATCTAGATTCGACGATCTCGCCGAAGAGTACTCCTGAGTCCACGATCATACGCGGCTCACCCCTCAAACCTCAATTCACCCCAAATCAGACCTTTTCACACCGCCCTCGCCCCAATACAGCGCCACCACCCGATCCCCTGACCATAATTCCGTAAAAAGATTCACACGACAATGCCAAACCCCCCATCCCAATCCGCGTCCGCCACCCACGTCACCCGCATCAACAGCGCCGGAACCAGTGATACCTACCTCACCTTCGGAGGATGCAACTACTTAGGACTCGCCCACCATCCCCAGGTCATCGCCGCCGCCCAAGCCGCCCTCACCACCTTCGGCCTCTCCACCTCCGCCTCGCGCCAAACCACCGGGAATGCCCAGCCCCACTCCGACCTCGAATCCGCGCTCGCAAACTTCACCGGATTCGACGACGCCCTCCTCGTCCCCGACGGATACACCGCCAACCTCGCCGCCCTCCAAGGCCTCGCCGCACTAGGAATCAACCACGCCGTCATCGATGCCCGCGCCCACGCGTCCCTCAAGGACGCCGCGAACCTCGCGCAAATGACCATCCGCACCTATGACCACCTCAACCCTACCCACGCCCACCAGATCCTCGATACCCTCGACACCCCCGCCGTCGTCCTCACCGATGCCGTGTTCACCACCGACGGCGACCTCGCTCCGCTCCAACAACTCCTCGAAAGCATCGGTAAACACATCCTCCTCATCGACGACTGCCACGGCTTCACCGTCCTCGGAAACCAAGGACGTGGAACCGCGAACCACTTCAACCTCTCCCACCCCAACCTCATGATGACCACCACCCTCGTCAAAGGGCTCGGCTCCGCAGGTGGTGTCGTCCTCGGATCACCAAAACTCGTCGCCGCATCACGCGATCACTCCACCGCATACATCTGCACCACCCCCGCATCCCCCGCACTCGCCGCCGCCGCCAGCACCGCCCTCAACCTCCTCCAAACCCAGCCAAGCATCCACGCGCAGCTCCTTGACAACATCAAAAACACCCGCGCCATGCTCCGCTCCCACGGCATCCAAACACACAACCACCCAACACCCATCTTCGCATTCACACTCGGAGACGAATCCGACATGCTCCGCATCGAGCACGCACTCCTCAACGAACACATCATTCTCCCGCTCATGCAGTACCCCAACGGCCCAGCCCCCACCTACTTCCGCCTCTCGATCAACGCATCGCACACCAAAGCCCACATCGACCAGCTCGACCAAGCACTCACACACGCCCTGAAAGCACAACCAGCATGACAGCCGCCCCACCTACCGAAGAACTCCAAGAGCGCCTCGCGTTCGCCGCTGCCAACACCATGCCGTGCGCCAAGCTCGCGCTCAACTGGTTCGGGAAAAACACCTTCCAACCCGACCACAAATCCGACGGCACCCCCGTCACCATCGCCGACCAATCCATCGAAACAGAACTCCGCAACCGCATCGCAAACGACTTCCCAGACGACGGAATCCTCGGAGAAGAGTTCCCAGACAAAGACGGCAACAACAGCTACCAATGGGTCATCGACCCCATCGACGGCACCATCTCCTTCGTCCAAGGAATCCCCCTCTTCGGTACCATGCTCGCGTGCCTCTACAACGGAGTCCCCGTCCTTGGCGCGATCGCGATGCCATGCATCGACGAAATCGTCTACGCCGCAAACGGACTCGGATGCTTCCACAAAGTCTGCGAGGACGACCCCAAACCCGCACGAGTCAGCCAAGTCGATCAACTCGACAGCGCCCTCGTCAACACCACCGCGCTCACCTACTTCGATACCCCGCAGCTCCGCGACCTCTACCTCAAGATCGACAAAGCTGCCAAATACACACGCGGACTCCCCGACTGCTACGGCTTCGTCCTCCTCGCCACCGGACGAGTGGACGCCGTGATCGAACCCAACGTCTCCCTCTGGGACATCGCCTCAGTCCCCCCCATCATCCACGAAGCCGGAGGCATCTCCACCGACCTCAGCGGCAAAGACACCGTCCACAACAACTCAATCATCGCCGCAACCCCAGGAGTCCACAAAGCACTCCTCGAGATGACCTCAGCGATCTAACTACGAGCTCTCAAGCCCAAGCCGCCCCAGCCACCACTTCATCAAGAGCTCTTGATCTTGACCCCCAACCCGATACGCGTCGCACATCGACATCCCAAACGAAACAACTGCCTCCGAATACGCAATCTCCATCTCCTCCCCCGGGCCTCCGGGGGAGGTGGCCGCGCAGCGGTCGGAGGGGGTCTTCTCTTGATTGCTCCCAAGTGAGTGCAACCGCTCAAACACCGCCGCCCCCTCACCCCACGCCCGCTCATCAATCGGCATCGGCAGTTCCATCACCTGCCTTGCGCTCATCTTGAGTGCATCCGCATGCATCGCCGCCCCCCCAAACATCCGCATCGCGTGCATGCTACACACCGGCGAACCAATCGCCGCCCCCAACTTCCACACATCAACCTTTCCAGGGTGGCATGGAGGTGTCGTCTTCGACTCCTCCATGTCTTGAGTCTGCATCAACATCACCGAAATCATCGGAGTCACCGCCGCGAACTCCCCGCGCGGATCAACAAACGCCTCGACAACTTTCGTCTGCGTCGCCACCACCACCTTCTCCACCCCGCGCGACTCCACCCATCGCGCCAGCCGAGCATCGCCGCATAGCTTCCCCTCATCCACGCGAGGCGATTCCCATCGCTGCTTCAGAATCCGCGTCGACTTCTCCCCCCACCAGCACCGCGCCAGATCCACCAGCCCCGTCGTCAGCAGCTTGATCCCTTCGCGTTCATCAGCATCATCAATGATGCAGCCCGCAAGCCCGTAGTACTCATCGCGAAAGTCCGCCGTCGCGCGAGCGACATCCCCGACCACACCATCGGATTCAAACGATACCTCCGGGATCCCCATCGTCACCGCCGCGATCGAAGACCACGTCTCCAGCGTTCGCATCTCTTCAGCATCGATCGCCAAATGCGAATGCTCAACAAACCCTCCACCAGAATACCGCTCCACCCGCTCACCACGACTGCCCACCACAACACACGGCGCACAGGTATACACACTCGCATCCCCGAACACATGCTCATTGGAAACCCACAACGATTCCAGCCACCCCATCTCAACCGCACGCTCCCGCGCGTGCGCCCCGCCCCGCGTCGCGATGACTGACTGTGGTTGCACCATGCACACCCGCCCTCCGTCCTTCGCAATCTGCAACCCAAGCACAAAGAACGCCGACGCCTCATCCGTGTACGTCGCGCCCCCAACGAGTTCACGCTCGCGCAAGTGCTTCACCCGATCCGTAGACCGAGCCGTCCCCGACCCAAGCTGATTCAAAAACGGCGGATTCCCCACCACCACATCAAACCGATCTGCAAGCACATCATCAACAAGAGAGTCCGCGCACTCAACCCGCGACCGCAGTTCCTCAAGAGCCAATCGCTCATCATCAGCTGCGAGCCAGAGCGACCATCGACAGATCTCCGCCGTCATCGGATTCACATCACCGCCCAACAGACACGACCGCACAACATCAGACATCCGTTGCTGATCAGTAATCGATTCAACTCGCTCAGCGATCCGCTGACCCGCCGCGATCAAAAAGTACCCGCACCCACACGCCGGATCACAGACCCGCAATCCCAGCAGCCGATCCACATCGTCTCCGCACGCTTCGATCGCCGGATCAAGCGCCCGATCCAGCACATACCCCACCAACGGCGCCGGCGTATAGAACACCCCACCCGACTTCCGATCCGACCCGTCCTCATCTTCGAGCCGAAGCTCATCTCCATCAATCACAGCTACCCACCCCATCAGCGATTCATCTGCCGACCCCATCGACGCATGCGCCTCGCGCACAGAATCAACCACTTCCCCAAACCATTTCCCGCCGCACAAGCCGAACTCCCGCCGCACAAGACCCACCCACTCCGCTGACCAAATCCGATCCGATCCCAATTGTTCCACGTGGAACATTTCGGATTCCAAGTCCATCCCCAGCACCATCGCCCACGCGTCCGCCGAGTCGAGCACCGCATCGAGCCGACCCACAGCTTCGAGTATAAAAACCCGCTGAAGCACGACCCGCAACTCAAATGCGAATCGACTCGCATCGATCGCAGCCGGATCCGAGTGCTGATGCAACAACGCCGACCCCATCGTTTCGATCGCGGCTTTCGCTTGCTCGCCCAAACTTCGTTGTTGACTCATCGCTGCGGGCATAGCCGAGGATACCCGAATCGATCATTCCTCGTTGGTGCTGACCACACGCACCTGACAGAACTGGCGATGCCCCATCGGTCCCGAGTGGTAGGAGTATCCCGAGTGCCGAGCGCCGACCCAAGGCGAGCCGCTCGCGCCGCCGAGTGAACGATTGACGCCGACCATCCCGGCCGTGAGTTTGCGTCCGACACTGCGAGCCGTTTCGTCTTCGCCGAAGACCACGGCTCCGAGGCCGTACTCGGTGTCGTTGGCTTTCTCGACGGCTTCATCGGCGGATGAGACTCCGGAAACACATACAACAGGCCCGAAGGTTTCGACGGTCATGATGTCCATGTCGTGGGTGCAGTTGTCGAGGACCGTTGGGGCGACGAAGTTGCCTTCCATTGGTTCGTTGCCGTGGATGAGCTTCGCGCCTTTGTTGATCGCGTCGTTGATCTGGGATAGCACGTGCTCTTTCTGCTCGCGCATAACCATCGGTCCGATGCTCGCGCCTTCTTCGTTGCAGTCGGCGACTTTAAACTCCTTGACCTGCGTGAGCAGCTTGTCCATGAACTGGTCTTTGACGGAGTCCTGGACATAGATGCGTTCGGTCGAGACGCAGACCTGACCACAGTTGCGGAGTGCGTTGCGGGCACCGAACTCCGCGGCTTTGTCGAGGTCCGCGCCTTCGAGGACGATGAGCGGATCTTTGGATCCAAGCTCGAGGATGAGTCGCTTGAGACCGTTGGCGGCGGACGCCATGATGTGTTGTCCGGCGTTTTTGGATCCGGTGAATGCGATGAGGTTTACATCTCCGGCGACGAGTGCTTTGCCCTGGTCGTCTTCGCCGTGGACGATCTGGAGGACCCCTTCGGGGAGGAACTCGTTGAGGACTTTGACATACTCGTCGGCGATGAGCGGGGTTTGCTCCGATGGTTTGCAGATGACGGTGTTCCCGGCGACGAGCGCGGGGACGATGGTCCAGTGGGGCATGAGCATCGGGAAGTTCCACGGCGTGATCGCGGCGCAGACGCCGTAGCCGTCGTAGTAGATGGTGGACTTGACGCCCTCGTCTTCGAGGATGTCGGGCTGGACGGCTTTGGCAACCTCGTCGACTTCCTCGGCCATGCGCGAGCCGCAGCCGGTGACTTCGCCGATGCCTTCGGGGATCGGTTTGCCTTGCTCGAGCGAGAGGAGCTTTCCGAACTCGTCGGCCATCGCAATGAGTTTCTCGCCGGCGGGCTTGAGCATGTCGGCGCGTTGTTGTGGGGTGAGTGCTTGCCAAGCCGGGAGCGCGGCTTGGGCTTTGGCGATGATGTTGTCGATCTCAGATACCGGCGTGACGGGCACGGAGCCGACTTCCTCGCCGGTTGAGGGGTTGTAGGAACGGAGGGTCGATGTGTCGGTATTGGTGGGCATGGTGGTCATAGAAGAATGCTAGGTCGCCGGAGCGATTCGCCTCATGAACATCGCAAGAGAAGTGCCCAAAAGTTGGGAGATTTACGGCATTGCTTTGGTTTGGATTGTGATTCCCTTTGTGGTCTCATCGCGTTGCATGGAAGGCGAGAGTACGAAGTCTGTGAATGAGATACCGCAGGTTCGAGCGTCTTTAGCAAAGGCAAGGATTGCTCCGCCGGGTGTTTTGGTGTCGCCGTTGGATTCCCAGTTGTTGGTGGTCATCGTGGAGCGGAACCATTCGACGACCTCTTCGAGTGATTTGTTGGGTGCGTGGAATGTAACCATGAAGTCGTCATCAACTCGCGTGACGCTTACACAGTTCATGTACTCTGCGAGTTCAACATCTGCCGGCCAATCAGCGGGGAGCTGAGTCTTATTCGCGGCGGGTTGTTCCTCAACTTTGGGATCATTCGTCTCTTGGTACGGCTCTATCTCAGGAACGAGTTCATCAATGTTTGAAGTGTCGGGAGTTTCTGATTTGTCTCCGCACGCAATAAGCACAAATGGGGCAACAAGAGCTACAGAGAGCGTTGTGATAAACCTATTCATTCTTGACATCGCAAGCTTCCTCATCATAAGTACATAGGACCTTAATACAACTTACTATAAATGGCAATGTGTCGCAACCTAGGACTCCATCGCTTAGAGCTTGTAAACGGAAGACTACTATCTAGCAGGATGAACTCACGAGCACTATGAATGAGTCTTCGAGCTCTTCTTCAGGGTCTTGGATCGGGTTGATGTAGGCGTTGCCCTCGTCGTCGATCGCGTCGGGGAGTTTGTTGTAGACGTTGGTTGCTTTGAATCCGGCTTCGAGCATCGCGTCGCGGAGTTCGGGGACGGACCAGAGGCGCCAGTGGTATTCGAAGGCTTCGTCGTGTTCGTCGGTTATGGTGCCGGCGTGTTCGATGCGGAAGTGGATGTAGTTGCGGACCATGCCGGTGAGGGGGTCGGCTTCGCGTTGTTCCCATGTGTAGCGGCAGAGTCGGCCGTCTCCCATGGGGGTGGGTCGGTGGACACCTCCTGGTATGAAGGCGTTTTCTCCGCCGTAGGTGTCGCAGAGGAATGTGCCGTTGGTTTGGGCGAGGCGGGCGCGGGCTTGTTTGAGGTACGCGACGAGCTCGGCGCGGGTGTGGTGGTATCCGATGGAGAAGTTTCCGACGAAGATGACATCGGCCGGATCGGTTGCGTGGTTCACATCGGCGCAGACTTTGGTGACGCGTGGGTGGTCGGGGTGTTTGTTGAGGGCTTCCTGGTCGAGGTCGGTCGCGATGGCGCGGTGGTCATCGGATTGCTCGGCCCACTGTCGCGAGAGGATCGCAGTGCCGGCGAAGTCTTCGGCGAGTGTGCGGGGGGAGCGGCCGTGGATCGCGTTGATGAGCGGGATGCAGGCTTCTGGGTTTTGGACGCAGAGTTCGTAGAGGTCGTGTTTGTCAAATATCGTGCTGCCGGAGTTCATTTATGGTCCGACCCCACCACCGGCTGCTGCGGCGCCAAGACCGAGCACCAGTACAAAGATGACGAAGAGAAGATACGCAAGCATTAGTGAGCTGAGAACGATACCGATCCAGCCGCACACTTTGCCTGCGGTTGCCATTCCTTGTGAGCTTGCAGGCGCAGTCCCGGCTTGGATTGCGAGTCTTGCTTTCTTCGCAAAGATGACCGCAATGATCCCACAGGGGAGTCCGAGAATGCCGTAACCGAAGCAAGTGAGAATAGACACGATCCCAAGGACCATGGAAGTAATCGCCTTGCCACTGGATTGGCTCGACTGGGAAGCGAACTGCAAAACTTGGGTTCCGCATTCGGGGCAGCGTTCACCAAGTCTGAGTCCAACGATGCTGTAACCGCATGACATGCACTTGATTTCATTGCCTGCGTCTGGGAGCGATTTTGTCTCTTCAGTCATGAATGCATATTAGCAGATTTACTCGCCGGGAATATAGGAGATCGTGCCTTCCATTGGGGATGAGGCGGTTGCGTAGCGTTTCTTGGGGATGCGTCCGGCTTGGTAGGACTGGTGTCCGGCTTCGCAGGCTTTTCGCATCGCGTGGGCCATCATGATGGGATCTTGGGCGTGGGCGATCGCGGTGTTGAGGAGGACGGCGTCGGCGCCCAGTTCCATCGCGACGGCGACATCGCTCGCGCTTCCGACTCCGGCGTCGACAATAACTGGGTAGGTTGGGTCGTTCTCTTTGAGCAGATCGAGACAGAGGACGATGTTGTTGTGGTTGAGGACGCCTTGTCCTGATCCGATCGGGGACCCTGCGGGCATGACGGCGGTGGCGCCGGCTTCTTTGATGCGCAGCGCGGTGATGGGGTCGTCGCTGGAGTAACAGAGGACATTGAATCCATCAGCGGTGAGTTCTTTGACTGCTTCGATGGTTCCGACGGGATCGGGGAGGAGGGTCTTTTTGTCTCCCAGCACTTCGAGTTTGACCCAGTTGGCTCCTGGGTTGTCGAGTTGTTCGAGCAGATCCCGTCCTAATCGAGAGACGCGGATCGCGTCTTCGGCGCTGAAGCATCCGGCGGTGTTTGGGAGGATTGTGTAGCGGTCGAGGTCGATGTATTCGAGGAGGGACTTGCCTTGGTCGTTGAAGAGTCGCTCGCGGCGGACGGCGACGGTGATGATGTCGGCTCCGGAAGCGTCGAGGGACGCTTCCATCGATTCCATGGTGGGGTACTTCCCGGTCCCAACGAGGAGGCGGGAGTTGAATGATTTTCCTGCGATGGAGAAGGGGGCGAGGCCGGGTTCGGTTGCGAGTGTGGTGGTCATGAGCGATTCTACGCATTGGGCCACTTGATTGCTCGATTAGATTTTTTCGGATCGGCGGGCTTCGGAGTATCTCTGGAGGGATGCGTCGATGACCTCGTGGGCTTTGTCTACAGGCTGGATCTCGTCGACCTCCACCGCTTTGCCTTCAAGGTTTTTGTAGTCCTCGAAGAAGCGTTTGAGCATTTTGAATGTGTGCTTCGGGAAGTCCTCGATGGACTTCATATCTTCGAACTCGGGATCGTTGATGAGTACGGAGATGATCTTGTGGTCCGGTTGCCCTTCATCGAGCATGGTCATGACACCGATGGCACGGGCTTCGCAAATACAGAGCGGGGGCACTTTTTCTGTGCAGAATACGAGGACATCGAGGGGGTCGTAGTCTTCGGCGTAGGTCTGAGGTATGAAGCCGTAGTTGGCGGGGTAGTAGACGGCGGAGGACAGGACGCGGTCGAGACGGAGCATCCCGGTGGATTTATCGAGCTCGTATTTGTTGGACGAGCTCTTCGGGATCTCGATGATCGCGCGGAAGTTTTGGGGGAGGGAGAGGGACTGGATTCCGGGTCGAACATCGTGCCATGGGTGGATCATGGTGGATGGTAGACTCGCGTGTTTTTATGGCAAATCGTGCATCCGAATCGGATGCAGATTCATGCTTTTCTAACTGGGTGGGTTGCTGAAGGGGTCCGATTACTCGCGTGCGGAGGTTGGGTACGCGGCGGGCGAGCGGTAGCCCTCTTGGTCATACGCACGCACGGCGAAGATCCAGTTGTCTTTGCTCAGGTCGATGGTCGCTTCGGTGACATTCCCGACGTCTTTGAACTTGGTCCAGTCGTGGTCGGTGGTCTCGCGCCAGAGGACTTCGTATCCGGCGGTGTCGGACTCGGGGGATGCGTCCCAGCGGAGGGTGGTGTCGTTGGTGAGATCCGCGGTGATGATGCGGGCGTTTGTTGGTGAGGACGGGGCGTTGGCGAGGTGGACGAGCACCGCGGTGTTGAGCTGGGTGACTCCGGCGAGGTACTCGGCGTCCACGTGGTTGGCGAGATCGCCGTATTGGATGCCGTCTTCGACGCGGACATCTTGATGCTGATGGTTGTATTCTTCGTAGACCTCGCAGAAGCGGACGGCGGGCATCCCGAGCTGGTTGAATGGGGTGTGGTCACCGCCTCGGAGGTAGCGGTCTGGACGGAAGATGAGCTTGGGTTTGACGGGGAGCTCGCCGTGGAGCTTTCCGATGAAGTTGATGTAGCGTGCGAGTTGTCGAGAGTCGGAGTCGGACTCTGATCCGGTGGATCGGAGGCGGTAGAGCGCGGATCTGAGCTGTTGTGGGTCGTCGAGGTTGACGAGGTCGAGGCCGAGACCTTCGGAGAAGATGCGGACTTCGGTGGAGCCGTCGAGGTCTCCGATTCCGGTGGGGTCTCCGATGGTGTCGTTGTTAAGGACTCCTCGGACATCGGCGCCGGCGTCAACAAGGTCTTGGGCGTGGAGGCGAGCGCCGAAGAGGCCTTGCTCTTCTCCGGAGGTGGCCATGAGGACGATGGTGGAGTCGAGGGATTCTTTGCTCAGGACTCGCGCCAGCTCGATGAGGGCGGCGACACCTGAGGCGTCGTCGTTGGCGCCGGGGGCTTCGGAGGTCGCGTCCATCGCGTCTGAAGCGCGGGAGTCGAGGTGAGCGAGGACGTAGTAGAGGCGGTTGGTGGATTCTGGGTTGGTCCCTGGGATGGTGCAGAGGACGTTGACGATCTCGACTTGCTCTGGGATGCGGCGGCCATCGGGTTCGACGGTGTGGGAGTCGAACGATACGGACGGGGCGTACTCGGCTGGTTTGTTGTGTCCGGCGATCGCTTCTTCGAATGCTTTGTGGACCCAGCGGCGGGCGGCGCCGATGCCTCGATGCTCGGACTCGGTGTCTGAGAGGGTGTGGCGGGTCCCGAAGGAGGTGAGCATGTGGACGTTGTCGATCAGACGCGCGGGATCGACGGAGGCGATGGCTCGTTGTGGGACTTCCATGAGTGCTTTCTGGTAGTACGGCAGTGAACGCGGGGACAAGCCCAGTTCGAGGGCGTGATCCAGTGCTTGATCGGGTGACATTTGGTTGGATTGTACGAGATGAAGCCCGTAGAGGCCTGCGGCTCGTGATCCTGAACCACAGTGCATGAGGATGGGCTGGTCGGGGTGCTCGCTCAGGAGCTGCGTGAGTGCGAAAGGTTCGGCGGCGGTGAGCTTTGAGCTTGAGACGGGGATGTTCGCGTAGATGAGTCCGAGCTCTTTGCAAAGATCGGATTCGTTGAAGTCGAGGTTCTCCATCTCTGACTCGGTACGCGTGGAGATGACCACCTTGCCTCCGAGCTTGGCGAAGATGCGGATGTCTTCTTCGGTGGGTTGTCCGGCGAAGACGATGTTGTTGTCGCGAGCGTTTTCTGCGAAGGGGTCTTCGATGACGACTGGTGTGATCTTGGCGTCGGTGATCGTGAAGCGTGGCTTATCTTCTTTATGAGTATCGATCACGGCATCTTGTGCGACTCCTGTCGATGTGAGTGCGGCTAGTAATGCGATGGTGGTGGTGATCTTGGTCATGGTGATGAAGTATACGGGGATGCGAGCGTGGTGAGCTCTTGGTGTTTGGGGAGTGGCGACCTAGAATCGGTCATGACTACGAATCAGAACGAACATCCGGGTGATCGATTGCGGAAACTTATGGATTCGGGGGTTGTCGCGGCTCCTGGGGCGTTTAACGCGCTCGTTGCTCGTGCCGTCGCGGCGGCGGGGTTTGATGCGGCGTATGTGTCGGGTGGGGCGATCTCGGTCGCGGCTGGGGTTCCTGATGTTGGGATCTTGTCGCTGGATCACTTTGCGAAGGTTGTGCGGGAAGTGGCGTGGGGGTCTGGGCTTCCGGTGATCGCGGACGCGGATACGGGGTTTGGGGAAGAAGAGATGGTCCGGCGGACAGTGATCGAGTACAACCACGCGGGCGGGGCGGGGCTGCATCTGGAGGATCAGGTGTTCCCGAAGCGGTGCGGTCATCTTGATGGCAAGGCGCTGATATCGCTCGAGCAGGCGTGCTCGAAGATTGAGTGGGCCGCGAAGGCGTCGCGGGATTGTTCGGGAGGGTCGTTCATCATCTGCGCTCGCACAGACGCGAAGGGGGTCGAGGGGATTGACGCGGCGATCGAGCGCGCGAAGTCGTATGTGCTCGCGGGGGCTTCGATGATTTTCCCTGAAGGACTATCGAGCGAGGAGGAGTTTGAGATCTTCGCTCGCGCGATGGATGAGCTTGGGGATAAGAAGCCTTACATGCTCGCGAATATGACCGAGTTTGGGAAGACGCCGATGATCGGGCTCGATCGGTTTGGGGAGCTTGGGTATCAGCTGGTGATCTATCCGGTCTCAACGATGCGGATCGCGATGGGCGCGATCGAGCGTGGTCTAGCGGATCTCAAAGCGAACGGCACGATGGAGGGGCAGCTTCCGACGATGCAGAATCGTGAGGAGTTGTACAGGTTGGTGGGGTACACGCCGGGGACGGCGTGGGAGTTTTAAGCGAGGTCTGAGTCTGAATCAGAATCTGAATCTGCATCGAGGTCGTCATCCGCGGCGTACATCGGCGGGGCTTGCTCGTGCTGGAATGGGAGGGTGGTGGTGCCGCAGTTTGGGCAGATGATGCCGTAGGTGTTGGCGGGGGCTTGTGAGAGGTCCTTTCCGCATCCTGAGCAGGTGATCGCGGAGAGCTTGGTGGTCATGGAGTTGACCATCGTGACGGCGGCGACGAGTGCTACACCGATCGCGGGGAGGACTGGGACTGAGAGCATGCCGACGACGGTGATGACCGCGATGGTCAGCGCGACGAGGAGTGCGAAGACTTTGAGGCGGAGCTTTTGGAGCCAGAACATAGATACGACCTCGTCGGGGCTGCATTGAATCGTCTCGGTCCTTCGAGACGACTGCTGAAGTATATCGACTTTTGTGTGCTCGGGCGGAGATTTTCTGGGTTTGTTGACCCCCTCAGATCGGGCGGTACAGGTCGATGATCTCTTTGAGGTTGTCCGGGTTTGGGAGGTGGTTGACCTGGATTTCTACGCCGTCTTGTCCGGAGGAGGAGATCCCGATTCGTCCGACGTTGGTCATGCGCTGGAGGAAGGACTGATCGACTTGGATGTTGCGGATGTTGTCGTGGACGACTTCGGAGGATGATTTGGAGAAGAACCCACGGTGCATTATGGTGCGTTTGGTGGTGATCTCGAAGGAGGCGGTGAAGCGGTCGATCCACCACCAGGCGATGAGTCCGAGCCCCCCCACTGTGAGGAAGCTGAAGAGGATGTAGTACGCGAGGCCGTGGTCTCCGAGTTTGTTCCAGAGGAGTCCGATGAGTGACGCGATGACGATGAGGGTGGTGATTGAGAAGCGGATCGCACGCGAGCGGAACCAGCAACGGCGGACCTTTAAGACACGGGTCTCAGGTCCGAAATCCGCGGGGTATCCGGCTTTGGCGGCGCGGTCGATCTTCTTGGAATCGACTGGGTCGTTTGGTTCTGGTGGTTGGACATCAGCGTTGTGCGGGTTGGGGACACGGTTGATGTCGCCGCAGTTCAGGCATTCGTGCTTGGTGCCTGCTTGATCGTCATCGAGTTCGATGAGCATGTCGCATTTGTCGCAGTTGAACTGAATCATGGTCGCTCCGTGGATTGTGCTCTATACATCATAGGAAAAAAGCCCGTGCTCTTGCACGGGCTTTGGGTAGGAATGCGTGGATCGTTGATTAATCGTTCCAGGAGCGGAGATCTGGTCCTGTGTAGGCAACGCGTGGCCGGATAAGGCGGTTGTTTGCGTGCTGCTCCATGATGTGGGCACACCAGCCGGTGATGCGCGAAGCGACGAAGATCGGGGTGTACTGCGGGACAGGGATTCCCATGGTGAAGTAGGTCATGCCGCAGGGGAAGTCGACATTTGGGAAGATGCTCTTCTGGGTCTCCATGATGTTCTGGACTGTCTCTCCGAGTTCGAAGAGTTTAACGAACTCATGTCCGCGGGCTTCGGCGGCTTTGCGTCCGAGCGCGTGGAGGATTGGTGCGCGGTGGTCGCCGTTTTTGTAGACGCGGTGACCGAATCCCATGAGTTTACGTTTGTTGGCGAATGCGGTCTGCATCCATGCGTCGATCTTCGCGTCATCGTTTTCGTGACCGATGTCGTTGCGGATTTCTGCGAGCATGTCCATCGCGGCTTCGTTGGCACCGCCATGGAGTGGCCCTTTGAGTGCGGCGATTGCTCCGGTGACCGCGCCGTGGAGGTCGGAGAGTGTTCCTGCGATGACGCGAGAGCTGAAGGTTGACGCGTTGTAGTCGTGTTCCGCGTAGAGGACGAGGGAAACATCCATGACCTTGACGGCTTCTTCGGATGGTTGCTCGCCGGTCATCATGTAGAGGAGGTTTGCGGAGTGCGAGAGATTCGCGTCTGGCTCGACGAAGTCGCGACGATCGATGGAGTTCTGCATGTGTCCGATGATGGTCGGGATCTTCGCAAGGAGTCGCTTGGACTTCTTGAGGTTTGCTTCTGGGGAGTTGTCTTGGCAATCCTGGTCGAGGTGACCCAAGATCGAGACTGCGGTTCGGAGGATGTCCATTGGAACAGCGCTGTGGTGGTTGACAAGGTCACCTGAAGTCTTCAGGAAGTTGAGAACTGGTTCAGGGAGCTTCCGCTCTGCGACCAGCTCGGCTTGGAAGTGCTTGAGTTCATCAGCGGAAGGCTTGTGTCCTACAAGGAGGAGATGGGCGACTTCTTCGAAGGATGCGTTGGCAGCGAGGTCGGCGATCTCATATCCGCGGTAGATGAGTGCGGACTGTTCGACTTTACAGATTTCGGTTTCGCCTGCGATGACGCCTTCGAGGCCTTTGGCGTGGGTTGGTGCGCTGGTCATGGTGGTGTCCTCGTAAGTGTGGGGTGTATGTCGAGTATTCTAGGCACAACGACAAAAAAAGAACCCGGGTATTTCCGGGTTCTTGTGGAGGATTGGAACAGTTTCGCCGTCGAAGTTTACTCTGCGTTGGCGAACTTCTTATTGAAGTCTTCTGCGGAGATGTCTTCAACCTTTGCGTCTTCCAGGATCTTGTCCACGGTTTTGTGCTCGCGGACTTGCTGGACGAGGGCTTGGGCTTGGCCGCTCTTGATGAGTTCCTCGCGGAACTGCTCTGGGCGCTTGCCTTGCTGCATGGCCATTTGCACGATCTGTGCGTTGATCTCGGCTTCTTCGATCTGGACATCGAGTGCTTCGGCGGCTTTGTTGATCAGGAAGAACTGCTTGAGTTCTGCGGTCGCGCGTGCCGCGGATGCGTTGCGGAGCTGCGCCATGTTCTGCTCGATCTCGGTTGGGTCAACGCCTCGGTACATGAGTTCCATGCGCTGGCGTTCGAGCGAGCGGGCGGCTTGTTGAGCGGTCAGTCCTGCGGGTAGATCGAACTCGGTGTTGTCTGCGAGGTACTTAACGACCTGCTGACGCATGACGCTCTGCTGCTGAGCAACAGCACGCTGCTCGAGTCGGTTTGAGACCATCTCTTTGAGCTGGTCTTCTGATGCGAAGCCGTACTTCGCGACGATGTCTGCCATTGGCGCTGGGACGATCGCATAGATCTTGGTTACTTCGAAAGTGACTGTGAGGTCTTTGCCGCGGAGAGCTTCAACTTCGTGATTCTCTGGTCCCTTGACCTTGACAGTGACGGAGTCGCCTTCCTTCGGTGTCCCGACCTGCTTGGTGAAGTCCGGAACGATGACGCCGAGGATCATGCCCTCGTCGCCCTCTTCTGGGAGTTGGATGACGGCGCCATCGATGTTGTAGTGCTCGGTTCCTTCTTCGTCGACCATGACAGCTTTACCGGTCAGGTAATTGCCCTTCTCGGACTTGTCCTGCTCGTCGAGGTCACCTTCATTGATCGCGATCTTCTTGATCTCGTCATCGACCATGCCGTCTGGGAGGGCATTGTCTGGCTTGAAGACTTCGATGTCCTTAAGTTCTGGGAGATCGAACTCCGGCATGACTTCGACTTCGACTTCGATGTGGACTGGGCTGTTTGCTTCGACTTCGACATCTTCGAAGAACTCTGCGGGTGGATGAGCGAGTACCTTGAGTTCATTGGACTCGACGGCTTCTTGGTATGCGGAAGCACAGAGGCGTGAGCGGGTCTCGTCCTGGACATAGGAACCGAATCGTTTTTCGACGAGGCGACGCGGGGCGCGTCCTTTACGGAATCCAGGGATGGTTGCTTCGTGTGCGACTGTCGCGTACGCGGTTTCCATCGCTTCATTGACCTTCTCTGCTGGAACATCAATGGAGATTTTCTTCCGGCATGGGCCGGCTTCTTCGATCTTGACGGTGTTGGACATGGTGAGTTGCCTTGATATGACACCAACCTACTGGTGGTGTGGGTGCGTGCTGGGCTGCTGTCGAGCCGCCTGCGCACGCCTGCGTCCCGGCTCGACCCTGCTGAACAGTTCAGCAGGACTGGAAGTGTAGTCTTGGATCGGCTGAGAATGGGGTCTTCTTGGGTCAGAGATGGGTAGTTATGGTTGGTTGGGTGGAGGTTGGGTGTCTAGGATGGTGGCCCACAGAGCCGGAGTGGCGGAATTGGTAGACGCGGCGGATTCAAAATCCGCTTCTGGAAACAGAGTGGGGGTTCGAGTCCCCCCTCCGGCATTCAAAACCCTTACTTGGACATATCAAGCCAGTATTGGACAAAGAACGGCGTTCCGGAAATGCCATCTGCGATGCGACAGTGGAACTTGATATTGTTTGCTGGTCTTCACTGGTCACATTGTGACAATGCAGGCCCAACCCAGCAGTGCATGTAGCGGTGCATGGGTCTAATGTCGGCGATGGGATGTTGTCTATCCCACTGCGAAGATCTAGACCCGAAACATCGAGATAATCAATCGCGGTATGTTTCACATCCTCGTGTCTCATTAGTTCCTGTGCAATTCGTAGCGGAACGCGAGCTTCTTGGAGTATTTGGTTCATCGAATGACGGAGCGAGTACGGGACAGCAGCATGACCGAGTTCATCGTACTTTGGGATCGAGGCCCGCTCAAGATCTCGGTCGAATGTTTCGATCTTAAACCATTTCTTGAAGATCTTGTCATTAGATCCAGCACATGCTGGTTTAAAATTACTCAAGTGATTAGATAGCCAGATTGGTATTGGTGTAAGTGTAGATCTTTTATTCTTCGCTAAGTCTTTGGGAATCAGCAGCGTCGGATCTGTTGGATCCAGGTGCAAATTTTTCCATCGAAGACCGAGAATCTCACTCTGGCGCGCCCCGGTACCAAAGCTAAATAGATAAAGCATCTTTCGATGCTCTGAAGGGCAGGAGTTGATTAATCGAACAACCTCATCAAAGCTAAGTGGTCGGCGCGGTTTCCGCTGCCGACCTGTCACACGAGCAACACGAACCGATTTTAGTGCATTTCGTGTGATCACGCTTCTTTCTACAAGCCACTCAGCAAAGGCACAGGCATGACTGAGATAGTGATTTGTGGTCTTAGGTGCAAGATCACGACGCTGTGTTCGCCAGTCCTCAAACGACTCTGCTGATAAGTCAACCGCAACCTCCCATTCACACTCCTTGATGAGCCTGAGCAAACGGGGGCGAATATGTCGAATACTCTCTCGCTTTAATTCTCTTGATTCGAGCACAGCCACATATTGATCGACATAAGCTACGATAGGTTTACTCGAACGATATAACTGTTCATCGGCTGGAACGAGCCCAGAACGAATATTGAATTCATGCTCGATATACTCACGCAGTTTCTTTTGCGCGATTCGTTTTTCGCGTACTTCAAGATTGATTGTTCTTTGTACGGTTTCATCCGGAAATCGGAAGAAACCGTGATAATTACCGTAGAAACGCCCATTCTTTGAATAGCGTTTCACGAAACCTACGACCGAGTGTGGACTTACGCTGCTCATACTTTACATTGTAATGCACATGTGATTAGCTCTGGCATTTGCGATTCAAGATACACTTTTCTCTTCCCTTGCCGTTTCGGGGCCGGCAATTGCCCTGCGCTAACACGGCGACGAAGAGTACGATCACTCATACATAATCGACTAGCAACTTCTTTGAAAGACAACAATCTATCTTCATGCGGTGCAATCTTGGCCAATGAAATACCTCCCCACTTTTGGTAGGGTTGATTTTGAACGGTACCGCGCGGAACCATACAAGACCCAAACTTGCCTGGTCAATTGTGGTACACGCGTGTACCACACCAGTCAAATGACAACATCAATGCGGTGATATGAATACAAAACCATCCAAGTAGCGCTTCTCTTGTGATTTGTGACCCGCGGGTCACAACATCAGAATGGCAATTATTTTCAGTGGGCAACATTTTTTGATTTGGCAAATGGGCATCTCTGTGAACAATTGGATGCCGTTAGGCATGTAACACATCAACTCGGTTGGACAACTGGTATGATATCGCTTGACGAAGTATTTTGCAAGCTATTTAGAGCCTATTTCGAAGCTTTTGCCAACTTTTATCGCATAATTGATCGCTAAATACTTCGATTTGCATACACTTACAGAAACCAACATGAAAGTAAAACTATGCTGTACAGCTCTATTGCAATCGGAAATGTGTTTCGCAGGATCCGCAAGCGGCACCTTGATAAACCAAACCTCACCCAGGCCGGTATGGTGATCGGCGTATCAAATACTGCTATGGGCGATCTAGAAAAGGGCGCTTCTCATGCATGGTCTAGGGAACGCATTCAGAAACTCTGCGAGTTCTATGGCATAGCCATCAAGGATTTTGAGAAAATGTGTAAGGCAGAGGACGAACACCTCGACTCCACCACGCGCAATCTTTCAGAGGCACAGCCCACAACGAAGGACGAGGATTACGAAGAACGCAAACGCCGCTTCATCCAGGCGGTCACCCCCGCGATCGAGCATGTCATCAACCTCCACAACAAGCTCCTCGAGGAGCTCCCCCCAAAGGTCTACCAAGCCGAACTCAACGCCATCGCCCTCAAGCACGGGATTGACTTGTAAGGCTTGCTACGGAGTTCATTGTGACCCAGAATGATCAAGTCATCATAGTCGATCACAAAGAACTAATACATCTTCTCCAGCAAGCATCAGCTGTGTATAGAGATTCCGAGATCATCACTCGCGATTATGAGAATGATCTATTGAATGTACCAGAGTTTCTGGAACTCCATTGCTGCGTGCTGAGGACAGAGGCATTCAAATGTTTCGACGAGTCAATGCAACGTGTGGGGCAGACTTGGTCTGAAGTAGACCTGTACATGCTCACTGCCTGGCTGATCGATAGAGCAAGCTATATAGACATCAACACAGTTCTTTCATCGTTGCAAGACTACATCAATGGCATGCCGTTCAAAGCACAATACATCGAGCGGCTGACAGGGCTATCGATGTTCAGTGACGCAGTTGAAATTGATGACCAAGTCATCTTGGGAAGCGAGAGATGCATTATTAACTCCGAGTTACGAAGCGATCTTCAATTGCAGGATGTCGGCTTTGGATATCGCTCAGACTCTCAGGCCTATCTCATCTTCGAATTTGATCATCCCGCGCAACTTGATTTTGCCCCAGGGGATGCAGACGGGTTGTTTGACTTGCCAACAATGACGCAACGGTGTGAAGAGGCTGTACTCCCTTCGAAGCTGTGCCTTTCGCTTATGCATAAGATTGGGCTTGGGATCCAGTCAACGGGAGACCTTACAATCGCGCCCGACCATGTTCCATTTTTGAATACTCCAGAATGGGGAGTACGAAGGCACATAGTTGGAGCAAGGCATTATCAGCACTCATTTACACTTCTCAGAGGCAAAAATTACGATCAAATCAGGAATCTCGTGAACGCGTTTAAGGACTTGTCAACTGAAAAAAGAGCAAAGCTATCACTACCAATAAGCAGGCTCGCTGCTTGCGCATCAATAGATCATATTCTTGACGTGTCAAGCCTCATCGAGCTTCGAGTGGCTCTTGAATCAGCCTATTTTACAAAACAACCAAACTCAGGGATTACCGAGAAGCTTGCACGTGAAATTTCTAGTCATTCGGAAGGGGCCGTTGATAAACCAACTGCAAAGCGTGTTTACAGACTCTGTAGCAAAGCGGTACACACGGGCGAGATCAAGAACAAAGATCCTGATGACCACAAAAATGTTTGGGCTGTTCGGAACGCATTACGCAACTACCTAGTTCGTAAAATATTACCAGACCCAAAAGACTTTACCCTATGATTGACCCATGAAAACCAAAGTCTTCATCAGCTGGTCCGGCGAGCAGAGCCACGAGTACGCCAAGCTCCTCAAGCGGCTCATCAACAAGTGTATCCAGTCCACCGAGATCTTCGTGTCCTCATCGGGCATTGACAAGGGCGCGGTCTGGTTCAGCGAGATCTCCCGCGAGCTCGACACCGCGAGCGTCGGCATCATCTGCCTGACGAGCGAAAACAAAGAGAAGCCATGGATCATGTACGAGTCTGGCGCCCTGGCGGCGGGGCTGAGCAAAGGCCATGTCTGCACGGTGCTCATCGATCTCGACCACACTGATGTCAAAGACCCGCTCGCCCAATACAACCACACATCGAGCCACTCAAAGCCCGAGCTCCGTGCACTCCTCAACACGATCAACAACGCGACGATCGATGATCTCAAACGATCGAAAGAGCAGTTGGACGAAGACCTCAACGATTGGTGGAGTCTGAACAGTGATGACTTGAACAAACTTAAGTCGTTATCGAAGCCGCCTGTAGAGGATCAGAATCAAAGCCCATCAAGAGGCACTGAAGACTTGCTCCGAGAAGTGCTTACTCGTGTTCGTAGGGTAGAAGAGAAACAGGGCTCCATAAACTTGTCAGACGATTACAAGAATGAAGATAGAGATGAAATAATCAAATTTGGACCTAGTGAACAAACCAAGTATGTACACTTTAGATCTGACGAAGGCATCCAGAGTTGGTTTTCCAACAATGCTCCAAAAGCAATACAACAAGCCTTTTATAAGAGTGTAAATCTAGGTGAAAAACACGCGGCCTTAGATCTGCTTGATGAGTTTGGTTTGACACCATCGATCTCAAACCGACTATACAAGTATCACCTACGCAAGATTGGGATCGACCGGAATGATTCTCTAAATCCTTAATCGTTCATCCCCACAGCATCACTGTTGACGTCAACCGCCATTCGTGTACGCCTCGATCTCCGCTTCGAGGTTCACCACGAACGGATCGGTCTCATCGAGCACATTCAAGAACGCAACTATCGCCACCTAGTGCAACGAGACAGTTCTCCGTTGATTAACAGAATACCAGATTCTAGAAACATCGCTAATCAGATTTGAATTCAG